TTGTGCCTTCTAGGGGCCTTTTAACAACGCCATATTGATGAAGTAAATGAGGAACCCAACCACAGGGTTACCCACGGTTGAGTCTTCACTGGAGCTGTATGCTTACACTGGTGGTAAGGATGGACGCAAACACTTGATAGTTCCATGGTAAGATTCGCACTTCTCATGACTTGACGTCATCCCCAACAGCTGATAGTAATAATGCATCCTTGACTCGCATGAAGCAAATAGGAAACTCCCTACTTTTCTTCTCTTTCTCATCGCATTGCCTGTGAGCTGTTCTCGACAATGTGCCTAACAGACCCAGAAGACGTGCTGTGATCACGAATTGAATACAGGTACCTTCCTCAAAGCGTATCCAACTTTCACGAACTGACAGCCTTATAGCATATACCAAATTTGTTTGAAATTCCCGACAATGTGTCAAGTTGGCCACAGGTAGTATCCGCCTCCCAAAATCTTAGCCGTTCTGGGAACTTTCGGCGAAAACTACACGAAGTTCACCTGGTCAGCATCCAATAGTTCGCCAAAATCTTAGCCGTTCTGGGAACTTTCGGGGAAGACTACAGGAAGTTCACCTGGTGAGCATTCAATAGTTCGGTACGCTTGGAAGAGGTCAGCATCAGCGTCCAATACCATTCTCTTGGTCACACAATGTTCCGCCCGACCCCTGTCTCCGCGAGTCTCCGTCACCTTTGCTACAACTCCTGATCATGTTCACTAAGGACTCACCTGAACTGCGAGACGGTGTTGACGAGAGATGCAATTGAAGCCCTTTGGGAAGTACCCTCCAACCGAATGCGCTAAAACAAGACTGTCGAATGCTTCAGTTCGAATTTTCGTTCGTCATCGTCGCAAGTAGTCCCATAAAAACCACCATTTTTACAGTCGGTTTACCTGTTCATCCTTGCGATTACTTTCGGTTGCACTGTACAGGTAACCAGACTACACGCTGTTGCCCAGCAAGCTCGTGATTTGTGAGTGAATAGCAGACCGGAATTGACTGGCAGAGTTTATCTAAAAATAGACGTGTTTTCGTGACAACGGCAAGTAAGAAAAATTCAACGTGACAATTTATTTACTGAAATCAATAGCTACTCTCGCGCTACTCGACAATACTGGACATTCACACACCCACATGCGTGGGTCGTCATTCCACATGTACGGGACGACGATTTTGGAAATCCGATCGATTTTTTGCCTTAGATATCTTTTCCGACAGGTGTTACAAATGCCTTCCTCCAATAAGCAGTAGTAACCACAACAACTACTGTTTTTTCTAACTTGCGGGGGACAGACTATGATTTTTCCCAATTGGTTCGATCCTTGTTCCGCATTTGGATTGTCAAATACTGCGTTGTGCTCACACTGCATAAGTGAGACAGTTTAGTGGTCGCTCTTGGAGATAACCATTTCAATCATCATGCCGTTCTTTAGTTCTTTCTCTGACGCTTCCCTCCTTTTTCACCTATTCGTTTTCTTCCATTTTCTCATCCTGTCGCTACTGGCATCTTCATATTCCCATCTTCGAAGACTGACAAATCCGTTCGTCACCCACCGCCCTTAGCCGCAGTATATGCGCTTAACTTCCACCACAGAAGTCGTTCTTTAAACCCCTACGCTAAGTTCTTCTGGCACTCTAAAACAAGCTGGACAACAGACTGCTCTTGTACGTACGCTGCTTTTATTGATCTGTGCTCTCTCTTTCTCCCTCTGAAACGAGGATTCAAGACCTTGTACGCTTTTTGAACTGACCTCCATCGACTTCCTCTCGCTTCCAGTCGCGCACCCTGGTCATCCAGCAGTAGCAGCTACGGTCGCTTCTGCTATGGTTAGCACTGTTCTAAGTCACCGAGCTAAAAGGTCTCTGCTTGGATGGCTGCCCGTTGATTGTCGTCACATCTGTACGATGATGCATTTGAGTGCGTCTGTGAGGGTATCCCATAAACGCACCGGGAATCGTTTCTTGTGCACTGCATCCACCCACGTCCCATTGGTGGGTAACTCTGATACCACCGAAAACAACTTTTACCCCGCTTTGAACTATTGGGTTATGATCCCAGATATTGTTGTATTTGCTGAAGATTTACTTGGATAGCCGACTCGGACTGGATTCGTGACGCAAGGACAACGGGAAATGCCACAGGCTGTTGCTGTGCCGCACAAACTTCCGAAACAGTTTGTCTAGGCTCGGATGTCCTGGCGGCATCTCATTCCCCCTGCTTCCTTCTAGTGGCATAGCGGCTGGGCACCGAATGGATATTACGGCTGAAGGAGATTGAGAACACCTACGGGACAAGACAAACCCTCTCCAGAAACCATCTATACCACCAGCCCTCCTTATACCTTGCATTACGACTACTCCTAGAAAAGGACAAGTCGGCCTATCGCTGCTGCCCATGAATCACAATCCGTAGGTATGCCCGAGTGCAACCACATCTAGTTGCAGTTGCGTCTCTTGATGCCGCGTGCCTCGTGCAGACCTAATAGTTCAATGTCGGTGGTCAAGAACCAGGTTTGCGATTGTCCCCCAGTGCGGGAACTTATTTCGGATTAATCAGAGAATTTGAAAAGTTGGGAGTTTGATTTGCAGAGGATCAGGCCGTTCTAGTGGGCATCGTTCGATCAATGTGGAGAAGCAAGGGATATAACGGCGTTTTGTGGTGGCCAGGTCTCACAATCGTAGTTTAATACTACCCGTACTGTCTCAGTGTACATACGGGGCTCCGTATATATATATAATCTTCCGGTGTTTGGTCATTTTGGACGAGGACTGAGCTCATCCGCTTGTAGCAGTCGATCGGACTAACGGATACCGCTTTATTCCCACACCGACCATTGAGTTTTATTCCAGATGGAATCACCTTATCTAGACTGTAACGTGTATTCTAGGAGCTCTAATTTGTGGTCGCCCGACGCAAAGCTGTCACCTTGTCGTGGTGGTCGGGCTTCTGTGCTGCAATGATCCTGTGACTCTAATTTGTGGTCGTCCGACGCAAAGCTGTCACCTTGTCATGGTGGTCGGGCTTCTGTGCTGCAATGATCCTGTGAGCTATACTGGCTGGAACTCAGTTCCCAAAAGGTTCAACCATTCCAGGAAGGCCAACGGGGAACAGCATGACGAAGGACAGTCAGCCCCCGTGTTGCGAGTAATCGCTGTCCGGAGGCAAAGTCCTACTGTCCTATGCAATAGGAGTATGAGGGCGGTAAGGTTTTCCCTCCAGGCGACCAGCATGTCCATATTTATGGAAGAGCGATGCTGCCTTTCCCCGAGGAAGGATGGGTTAGAAGAGGTCGGCCCCAAAAAACTGCACACTCCGATCGCCCAGCGGTTGACCGTGATCGTCGGCGCATTATTCAATACGGTCGAAATATCTTTAAAACCAAAGAGCCCGGTGCTGCTCAAAAGGCACGTGCTGTGCGCAGCCGCATCAGGAATGAGACAATAATACCTTATTCCTTGCGCCCTCGGGCCAGGCCGGCCGCCCACAGCCAAGTAAGTCAGACTTTTGAATCATTGGCTCCGGGAAGGGTCCCCAAGAAAAGGGTCCCGGGGTGTGCCCCCCCCCCCCCCCCCGCAGCAGAACAGTTCAGACTGTTGAGTCATCGGTTCCGAGCCGGGTCCCTAAATAAAACCCTACTCTCCGCTCCCTCGTGTGTCAGACCTTTGAGTCAAAGGCTCAGGGTGAGGTACCTCAACTAAGCCCTCTTCTTCGGCATGGGCAATCGGGAAGTATCATTTTCCCTTGCAGCTCTTCGCTCACCGTCCTTCTCCCGACGGGTCGATGCGGTAAACGGTGTTTCTTACTTGGAGGACACCTACCACAAAACATTCGTGGACTCAGTAGGGCCGTTTGGCTATCAGTTACCGATGGAGAGCCTTAGTTAAGGATTGTCGTTCCTTCTGGGGTGCGCAACTTGACTCTGAGCACGTCATCGTGAGGGCCCGCTTAGCACTTCGCTTTCCGCCATCACTGCGCGTGCCGATAGAGAGCGGCTCCGTTCATCAACTTCGACAAGTTTCAATGGCTGGAGAGTATCGAGCTGATCTGGCTAGAAAGCTACTGGAAACACAGTCATGTAAACGACGAAGGAGGATGAATAGAGGCGAGTTAAAGAAGCTGTCAGCTTTCAGAACTGTTTGTCCAACCCATCTGACTCGACTCAATGCACACTGGATATCTTCGAGATCAGCAGATCTTATTGCTGCCAGAAAGACCATACCAGCAACTAGTGACTATGATGGCACCCGCGGATCCCTCAAACACACGGATAATCAGGAGCTTGAGGAATGACAGAGAATGCTGGTGGATTTCGAAGGCCCGGGAAATGGAGAAGGCTTTTGCTGTGGGCAACAGCCATGCTCTGTTTCAACTGATCCAATAAACGGGTCAAAAGAAGGCAGGTGTCAGTGAGGCGATAGGCGAAAAAGAAGGAACAGAGATTCACTCCCTCAATCGCCGTCTTGAGCCGTGGGCTGAGCACTTCAATGAACAGTTCACCTGGTCCCCTTCAACACAACCGCTGGAAGAACCAACCATCAGCAACCGAAATCCAGTGTGGGATTTCAATCCTGAAGCGCGACATGGCACCTGGCCCGGATGGTTTGCACCCCGCGCTTTTCAAAAAAGGTGGGGAGCTCTTGGTGAACAGTCTGACAACCATACTGCAGAAGATTTGGAACGAAAACAGAATACCAGCCGAATGGAGCTCCTCGACCGTCGTCCCAGTTTTCAAAAAGAGAGCAGGAACTTCATGTGAAAACCATTGTGGTATCAGCCCGGCATTTGTCCTATCTAAGGTTCTCTGGTATTTGCGCAGGTTGATGGGTTATCGGGAGAGACATTCGTGAGAATCAAGCTGCGTTTCTCCCTGATCGAGGATGCATCGACCAGATCTTTACCTTGAGACAAATTCTTGAACAGTGCCACTCTTTCAGACCTCCCACTTTTGTCGTTTTTTCTGGATTTGATTTTTGATTCTGTCGATCGTCAGCCACAATGGCAGTGTCTGGCGATCAAAAGAGACCCTTCCAAATTTCTTTCCTTTATGAGGGCACTGTATGCAAGCGGCGTTTACACTGCGGTGGTGCAATAATCTGTACTGCTTTACGGATCAGAGACGTGTTCCCTTCGCGCAGAGGACATACGAAAGATGTCATCGGTGTCTCCGAAGCATTGGTCAGGTCTGGTGTGAACATCGGAGTAGTAACACCGAGGTACGCCAGCTAGTCTTAGAAGAAACTCTCCCGCGATAGATGAATTACTCATGCTTCATAGGTTGCGCTATTTGGGACATGTACTCCGCATGCCGGAAGGCCGTCTGCCTCACACGGCTCTTTTTTCCCAGCCCTGTGCTGAGTGGGAGCGACCGAGAGGTGGGCAATGTATGACCTGACAACGGAGTACGAAAACACTAACCAGCAAACTTAGTCGGGTGGGCATCTGCCGCCTCCCTGGATGGGAACGCCGAGACTCAAATCACTAGTCGTTAATGTCATTGGCGGAAATGGACCAATCGCGCAGTCAGTGGCACTCGTGCATCAAAGCTATCACCTTCAATGCGTAGCTACCCAACTTCCGAACAAACTGAACATGCCTTCGCCTCCAAGACTTGATTGTATATTCCACTTTGAGGTTTTCCGGTGATCGAAACTGTAGACCCTGGAACCAGTGTGCCTATGGCACAGGGATTATAACTGATTAATTGAAATGATTGATTTTGTGATCGAACATATGTTTGCTACACGATTCCGTCAAATGAAACCACCGCGGAAACCGACTCTCTGAGCCCAACTGATCCAACAGTTGCTACTCAACGTCGTCTGGTTTGTCCAAAGACTTACGATATAAGATGTTATTGATTTCGTAAAGAAAATTAATTTTTGCCAGCCAAGTTGAAGAGTTGATCGAATTTGTGGGGACGAGGATCGTATTGCATTGTTATGACCGATATTTTCATTGACAGTTACGCGCAGGATGGTCTTAGGTATGGGATAACTGTTTAATGATGAGGCGTGTGACCTAATCACTGCAGTGGCACAGTACTTTGCAGCACGCGCTAGAGATAGCTCAGTGGTTAAGACGCCAGCTTACGAAGCGGGAGGTTCGTGGTTCGAGCCCAACATCAGCTGGTCGACTGCTCCTGTCTAGGCTTACGCAACCTGGTAGTCTCCTTCCGCTGGCATGGCGCCTAGGCACCGAAAGAGTGCTACAGCTCCGCCTGATTGATCTTTGCGGATGCTGTTGTCCGATGCCGTCTCTGGTTAGTCACAAAAATGGATCCGGTTAGGTTCACTCTAGATTCTGCATACAGATTTCCCTTGTTCGAGCATCAACACTTCCTGGTTTATTGTCATTTCAGATGTAGGGTGGTGAATACGTACATATGCAATTGACTGGATTCCGTCCAAAGTAGTTTTTATTTTTGCATTACCAGCAGGACTCTTATTTTTGACGAAGCACCTAACTTGAACTTGATCGTTTACTTTGTTTATTACCCTAATCAAACACTACTTTGTTCCACTTTCTTTCTTAGGGTCACGCAAATCAAGACCTATTCCTGGGACAACGCCCAAGTAGTCCTGGTAGGGAACAAGTGTGACCTGGCAGATGAACGGGCGGTCTCGGTGGACTGGGGCAGACGGTTGGCCCAACAACTGGGTGGGTTTGTTTTTCTGCGTCTCATGAGCGCCTGAATCTACTTTTTTGTGTGTAGTTATGGTTGCTCATATCTACTTGGCTCAGACTCCCTTTAGGCTAGCCCTCAGGANCAGTCAGTGGCACTCGTGCATCAAAGCTATCACCTTCAATGCGTAGCTACCCAACTTCCGAACAAACTGAACATGCCTTCGCCTCCAAGACTTGATTGTATATTCCACTTTGAGGTTTTCCGGTGATCGAAACTGTAGACCCTGGAACCAGTGTGCCTATGGCACAGGGATTATAACTGATTAATTGAAATGATTGATTTTGTGATCGAACATATGTTTGCTACACGATTCCGTCAAATGAAACCACCGCGGAAGCCGACTCTCTGAACCCAACTGATCCAACAGTTGCTACTCAACGTCGTCTGGTTTGTCCAAAGACTTACGATATAAGATGTTATTGATTTCGTAAAGAAAATTAATTTTTGCCAGCCAAGTTGAAGAGTTGATCGAATTTGTGGGGACGAGGATCGTATTGCATTGTTATGACCGATATTTTCATTGACAGTTACGCGCAGGATGGTCTTATGTATGGGATAACTGTTTAATGATGAGGCGTGTGACCTAATCACTGCAGTGGCACAGTACTTTGCAGCACGCGCTAGAGATAGCTCAGTGGTTAAGACGCCAGCTTACGAAGCGGGAGGTTCGTGGTTCGAGCCCAACATCAGCTGGTCGACTGCTCCTGTCTAGGCTTACGCAACCTGGTAGTCTCCTTCCGCTGGCATGGCGCCTAGGCACCGAAAGAGTGCTACAGCTCCGCCTGATTGATCTTTGCGGATGCTGTTGTCCGATGCCGTCTCTGGTTAGTCACAAAAATGGATCCGGTTAGGTTCACTCTAGATTCTGGATACAGATTTCCCTTGTTCGAGCATCAACACTTCCTGGTTTATTGTCATTTCAGATGTAGGGTGGTGAATACGTACATATGCAATTGACTGGATTCCGTCCAAAGTAGTTTTTATTTTTGCATTACCAGCAGGACTCTTATTTTTGACGAAGCACCTAACTTGAACTTGATCGTTTACTTTGTTTATTACCCTAATCAAACACTACTTTGTTCCACTTTCTTTCTTAGGGTCACGCAAATCAAGACCTATTCCTGGGACAACGCCCAAGTAGTCCTGGTAGGGAACAAGTGTGACCTGGCAGATGAACGGGCGGTCTCGGTGGACTGGGGCAGACGGTTGGCCCAACAACTGGGTGGGTTTGTTTTTCTGCGTCTCATGAGCGCCTGAATCTACTTTTTTGTGTGTAGTTATGGTTGCTCATATCTACTTGGCTCAGACTACCGAGANCCCTCAGGAGTGACGAATGCCGAGAACGGGAAAGAGTGAAGCGGTGCTTGGTCTCTTCGAAGTCTTCCTACTCTTATCGGGATTCAGGAAATAAATGTATTGGGATCGGTCGACCTTCGAAAGATGAGACCAGAGATTACCTTTGATGTCAGGGGGCGAGATGGCCCAAGTGGTTAGAGCGCGAATTTACTGACCGGAAGGTTCGTGGTTCGGTCCGACCTCCGCCACTCGACTTCCCCTGTCTAGGCTTGGGCAGCCTGGCAGTATCCTAGCCCTCGTGCTTCCTTCGGGTGGCATGGCAGCTAGGCACCGGAAGGGTGCTACAGCTGAACGCTTTCTTTTCTTTCTTTATCAGGATTCAGGAAATGAATGTATTGGGGTCGGTTCTCCCCGGCTCGCCGCATGCAAGGAAAATCACGTAGACCCCGGAGAGATAGCTGGGCGGTTAAGGGGTGAAATCACCAACCGGGAAGCTTGCGGTTCGAATCCAACTCCGACATCTGGACTACTCCTGTCTAGGAATCGGCAATTTCAGTCCTCGTGCTTCCTTCGGGTGGCATGGTAGCTGTTGGTGCAAAACGCACACAGAGACTAAGAATCGCATTGGAAATCCTATCAAGATAGCAGAACGACGTTCATTGTTCCTAAACTCGGTACTGCTGAACACCACAAAATTGTCGTTACGCCTTCGATCTAAACTGAACTTGCCACCACAACCCGCCTCGCCTGAACTGAGGCACCCTACTTGCAGGTTGAAATCTCCAGCGATTAGGACTATGTTTGTGAACTGTTCGTGTTGGTTGTCTCTTCATGGAAAGTACCTTCCACAGAATCTGAGCTGTATTTGGTTGATTCGTATCGATACAGAATCGAAGTTCGAAGCCTCAGTCTGACACGTTGACAAAACGGAAGGTGTAGAAGTGAGTGTGCGCGCTTTGGTGACGTGCATATAGAGTAGGGTACCAAATGGTCTGACGCACCGGTGTCCGGGTGTCTAACGTATTCTGGTCCAGCTATAGACTGCCCGGAATAACCACACATCAAATATCCTGGACGACTTACTACTGGACGGTTATGGAAGACTCTCCCTGATTGGCCAAATCACCGATCAACGAGGGTCGAACGTCCTGGTTTGATATTTTCCATCCTGTCACGAACACTTTGTTGGATTTTGTGAAAAAATTCGGAGCTTCTCTGTACAAACACATTCACGGCGTTATTCACCGTCAGAGCAACGTGTTTCCAACAAGTCAATGGTCATTATAGGTCACGTGACCACGACAGCTAGACGTCTATTGTTTTCTCCGCAGTTTCCTACAGGAAAGAGTTTTTCCTCGGATTTCTACCAGCGATGATAGATCCTGCATGATGAATTGAATTAGATTGGTTTGTGTACGATGCCTTCAACCCTAACTTTTGATCCAACCTGGCCATCTTTGTGCGGTTAAAGACAATGCGTACCGCTGAATAGCCGTCTCTTTTGGCACGCTTCCCATCCAAGACCTGTAGGACCGTACAGCTAGCTTCTCAGTTACTGGTCGTATCTCTCACTAGAGAACAACTGAATGGTGGATATTATTCCAGAAGGAAGCAAGTACGTGAACGGGCTTCTAAGGAATTATCAATCGGGATGCATGTAGGTGATAAACAAAGCCGATATATTTATTTCAAAGCCTAAGAATTAGGATACCGCTTGAGGGATTTATCACTCGAATCCACCCGCTGACTTTTCCCTCTGCTTATCAGCATAGCCCTCGTGTTTCTTTCAGGATATTTGGCATTTGTGTTATGCTGTTTTTCTTCGTGATTTATCACTGTTTTTTCCAGCATCGTTTATTGTCTTCCTGGGATCAGTATGCTTATTGCTTTCTGTTTTAGGCCTAGAATTCTTTGAAGCTTCAGCTAAAGAGGACGTGAACGTGAGGAACGTGTTTGAGCGTCTGGTCGATTTGATTTTCGACAAAATGGCTGACAATCCCGATAATAATCCAGCAATTGCCGGAGTCACCCAGAAGGGTAAGTATAGTGATTTTGTTTGCTCGACCTGATACGGATGGATGAGTAAGCTCGTAGTAGTGTGTCGGCATGGTTTTTTGACAGCGTTCCCCTAATCGGGCGAGATGGACCAAGTGGTTAGAGCGCGAATTTACTGACCTGAAGGTCTGTGGTTCGAACCCGACCTCTACCTCTCGACTTCCCCTTTCTAGGCTTGGGCAACCTGGCAGTATCTCACTCCTCGTGCCTCCTTCGTGTGGCGTGGCAGCTAGACACCGAAAGGGTCTTACAGCTGAACGTCCACCTAATCGCGATGCTCAAAACTTGTCAGTCTTTAACTCATGTTCACATGATCGATCCAGCTGCACGAAGCGGCACCGTGCGTGTCCGACTTTTGCTGTCTTTGCAACTATGTATGAGCACATGAGACAACTGTAGCAGATCCTTTTCATGTCTACCGGTTTATCTGCTTGGATTGCGCTTCTCAGTACGACAGCGAAGCATCGGCGTTGAACACTGATGTTATACTGTCGATGGTCCTGCTCCTTAATGGAACGGTGACTTTTGGGTACGGTGACTTCCGGGTACTGGTCGCATGATGTTTTGTGTATGAAAAAAACAATGGCCAAAATTACTATCTAGATTTATTCCCTTATTGTGTTCATAGTCCGGCTTTCATCCAAATGGAGTTAGATAGCCATTGCGATATTGGCTTGTCCTTGAAGGTATAGTATTGGTCGCTGCAATGTGTCAGGTACTGGCTCAGGGTTGTACAACGTAGACTTAACGGTGCTGAAGCACGACCAATAATCTTTGACCCCAACTACACTGGCTCATTTATGTATTCACGGATACACCGACCGACTGGTGGGTGATGTAGGGTAGACAACCTTGGCCAATTGATTGACCATGTGAGCAGTAGAGGTGGTGGATATCGATGTCTGCGGATGCTCATCGACCTGATGTTTGAAGAAGCGCTGCTGAATTTGCTCGTCAACCCCCAATCTACTGTTTCACAAACCTCAGATGACATTCTTGATCGATAGCGCAAAGCGGTGAATCTATCTACAGTCGATCCCTAAACGTTTCATGAATGAATGGTTCATCTCAATTGGGCACCGATAATGTTCTCTGGTTGTCGGTTTCAAGCATGCTTCCTAAATTTCCATCACTGAAGCACCGAATGCAGTTGATTGGTTGCGAAATCCCGGCTGATTGGTACACTCACTCGTGCCTTTTTGGCACAATGTATAGCCAAACAAACCAGATTGCCACTTTGTTTTCTTCGATTATGTCTCAATTCTCATCCACCTGCCCTCACCTTTAAATGTTTGGCATTATCTTTTTGGTTAATTGACACTGTTAGTGGGACATGAGATGATGCCTTTGAGATAGATTCTCTGATATGATCTGTCTGGCAAACTGTCTGAAACGCCGCGGTGCAGTTCTGAGCCATAGGCAGCCGGTTCAATCAAGCTTACTTGTGGGTCTGGTCCGGAACTTTCTCCTCAGTAGGAGATTATGTCAAAAGCGGAACGAGCTGAACGTTTGCACAGAGTTTTTTAAATTAAATTCACATGGTTTATTTTAGTAAGTTTTAGGTCGGAGTTGTAACCTTCCATATATTTCAGGGTTGCCTGTTCAGCAAGAAAACACTGATCCACTGATTCCATCATGCAAGCGCGCAGTATACTAAGCCAGGGGCGGTGACCGATCATCTCAGCATTCCTCAAACAGCATCCACCTAATACTTCTGGCAACCGGGTTAGATTGCCCCTTAGAATGGGTACTATGTGCTGTGCATTAATTAAGCTTAAGACGCATTCATTTCCATGACACCTTGTCCTGCCATATGGGTGGGGAGACCTGGCCACTGCGAGCTAAAGATGATGAGAAAAAATTTACTATTTAATTATCGGTGTCTTCAGAGCATAGCTGGAGTCTGATAATGCTGGTGTGGGCAACCTGGCAGTATCCCAGCTCTCGTGCTTCCTTCAGGTGGCATGGCAGCTAGGCACCGAAAGGGTGTCACAGCTGAACGATTATTCCTATTTGTGTATTGGTCTGGGTCGACTGGATTTCGACGAAGTAACAACTCACACACGGTCGATGAACGGATGACCCTTCCATGGTTGTGCTAGTCTTATCTATTTCGTCTACCCCTGACAGTCCTTATGCGTAATTCGGTGCCAAGTGGAAATGTCTTGGGAGTAATATGAATGCAAATCCAGTCGCATTGGTAATTGTTATCTCTCTCGATGGGGACCCAGAGACAAAGCCAAAGGCGCAAGAAGTTGACACATATGTCCCAGTCACATACCCAGTCACTCACGTGCAAGCCACGCGGTGCGTAGATGCATTCCTAATGTCCTCACCATGAACAAACGCCTGTCTTTACTCTTGCATTCATCGTTCAACACTATCAACTGCTGCCCGTTTGTCTACTCTCATTCCACAGACTATCGGTCGACGAAATTGTCAAAGGTAGAATGGCCGTGCATGGTTGATTATGACTGGTTGTCCTAAAAGACAGCATTTCAGTGCAACTATCATCGACTTTTACTGTAAAACCTCTGACTCGGATCAACTTTAGATCCAGTGAGAAACAGTAGCTTAATTTCTATTATTAGTATCGTGCAGGTTTCAGCGATTCGAAATGAACGTGGCTTTTGACTTCAGTATTTATCGATCGGTGTTGGGTAACGGAGCAGCGGTATCAGTAATCTGGCTATGCACTTTCTGAGAAAAAAACTGTAGGGAATGCAGATCAGCGGTACCACAAACAGACTGTTGTTTTACCAATACTGGACAGATTTCCACTGGTCAAA